TAAATTTCATTCCTCATACAGTACTTGTTCACTGTGTGTATTTTTTTTCATAAATTTATTGTTGATATGAACTAGACTTTATTTTTCCCCTTTAAATTCATCATTGCCACTATACATGTTGTACAACATTCTCTTTAAATAAAAACCTAAAATATGAATTCTTCAGAACATGTTAAAAAAAATGGCTCTATGAAATAAAAGTATTACAAAAAAAGCCCGTACTGGTAATAAAAAGGTTCGGCGTAACTGAAGTATTTGCGAAAAACTTATGGTAATTTATTATCTTGAACATATTAAAAATATAAGAGCTATTGCAAAGCGATTTGATATTGAACCTAAACAGGTTTATAACTAGCAAAGCAAGAAACAAGAACTTCTAAATTCTGTACCTTACCTTTTAACTTTTAATCGTGGCCGGCTAGCCCAGTACCCACTTTTAGAAAAAAAGCTGGTTGAATAGATTGAAGCTCTTCGTAGTAAACAGATAGCTGTTATATAAAAAATGGTTGTTACAAGGGCCAAGCAATTGGTTAAAATTAATGAGATAAAGGATGCATATCCTAACATTAGTGATTTTAAGTTTTCTAATAGTTGGCTGTGTGGATTTTTGTATTGTAATGAGTTATCAAATCGCTGACGCACAACAGTTTCGCAGCATCTCCCTGAAGACCTTATTAATCTACAAAATGAGTTTTTAAGTTTAGTTTTGTTCAAATGCCACCAATACAATTATGATATCCATTATATTGGAAACATGGACAAAACACCTTTGTTATTTGACCTGCTATACCCAGTAACTCTTGATAAACGTGGGGCCAAAACAATAGGTATCCAAACAACTGAACATGAAAGGACCTCTTTTACTGTAATTTTAAGATGTCTTGCAGATAGAAGAAAGCTTCTACTGGTATGCATCTTTAAATTAAAGAACATTCTCTGTAAAATTTTTCCTGAAGGTGTCATTATTCATATAAATGCAAAAGGGTAGTGCAATGAAGAGGAGATGAAATATTGGATCAATAACATGTGGTCTAAGCATAGTGATTAGGAAACCCTCAATCTTTTCTTGTTTTGGATTCATTTAAGGGACATACTGTAGATCTCATTAAGTATGAATTTCACAGAAATAATACCCATCTCGCTATAATTCCGGGAGGACTAACCAGTAAATTGCAACCTCTTGATGTTGCAATAAACAAATATTTTAAGGAAAAGGTATAGTGTATTAAAATATTTTTTATTATTCGTAGAGCATACTAATAGAATAGAGTTTTAAACGATAGGTGTGCTTTCATTATAACCAGTGGATGATCAACAACCCTCATCAATTTATGCCTGCTGGACGTATTCGAAAGCTATCGTATTCTACTTTAGCTCAATAGGTAGGAGAATCATGGGATGAAGTTAATCCTGTATAATTAGAAAGGCATTCAAGTGTTGTGATATCTCAGTAGCAATAGATGGGTCTGAAGACGATTTGGTGTTTGATTATGAAGCTTTGGGTAAAGATTTGGAAAATGTGAATAAAGAAAGTATTGAAGAGTTGAATACAAATGATATTAGTAGTGAGGAGTATAAAGAAACTGAGGTTGATAACGATTGAAAATAATAATCAAATTTCTTTTTTTTTTTTTTGAATAATAACACTTGTCGCTAAGTTTTTTTATTCAGTGCAATATCTGTGCTTAACAAAAATGAAATTGTGTACTGAATTGGAGTTGTATTGAATATTATAAATAAACTTGAATAATATCAGAATGTAGAAAGACTTTGTGCATGTGATAATTGATGAATAATATAAAGAATTTGTCCATTTTTAATACCAGGTTGGCAAAAAGTTTACATAATAAACCAACTTTTATACTCTAATAAAATTTTTTCTTGTGAAATTTTGCTATAATATTCTTTATAATAATTTTAATGCATGTTATAAATTTAATGATTATTGTGGTTTGCATAATTTTGTAACTCTTATTATTATCATCAAATGATTTTGATTGCAATTGCGATTGCTAAAGCCAGCCAATTTATTATAAATCTGAATTTGTGTCAAGCTTAGATTTATGATAAATTGATTGGCTTTAGCAATTGTAATCACAATCACAAATCCCTACGTACATAATCTTTCATATTCAATGCATCATTGAATTAGTGGTTCTTATTTTTATCATGTTTATTTTGCCAGTAAATCAATTATAATTTAATTTAAAACTGGTTTTCTATAACTTTGTATATGTTATATTTAGTGTTTAATGATATGTTATTAGAAAATATAGTTAATACCTGGGTATAAGTCACAATTTGGCACTTCAAACTGGCAAAGAGTACACCGCATGGGGGTATACATGTCTGGATTTTACGGTACTTTATAAAGCTTTGAGGATTTCTAGAGATCTCTAAACTATATATATAGTTTTAAAATATTTTTTGTAAAAGATTTTTTTAAAAATTAATTGTTATTTTTAAATACAGTAATAAAAAATACTTTTGTTTTTTAAATTAAAATTAATTTTAGAATAATCTTCTAATTAAGCAAAATTCTTCTCATACGTATCAAAATTTTACAAAAAAATAAACTATAAAAATCTTATATATACTGTATTGTATTCTATATAAACAAAACTTCACCTAGCTGCTATCAGGTACAAAGTTTATTTACTAAGTGTTTTGTTTACTAAAATAAAGTTAAAAAAGATTAATAGCAAATGGTTAAGCAAGACACCTTGGCAGGCTATAATACTATTAAGCAAAGAAGTAGTAGAGCAACCCTAGAGCTTTGTCAAGTGCTATAGATATAAAAATAGATGTAGCTACTTGTTAGAATATAATACTCTATATAGTATAACTCTTACAATTTTTTTTTTAGTACTTTTCTTATTTCTCTTTTGGCTGCTATTATCTACCTATCTTGGCAACAAAAATTTTTTTAAAAAAAGTAAGCAAAATAGCTTATCTCTGCCAAAGAATCAGTATTGTTTATATTTTTCAAATTTGGATATCATAGTAAATAGCAATTACATATTTGGTTTAAATAAGTATAGAGCTATTACTTTGAATCAACTTCAGATTAAGGTACTCCTAGAAGCGGTAGCAAGTAGCTTGAGATATGGGTTCTCAAATAGCAGCAGCACTTGGCTTAAAATATGGACTAGGAGTAGATTAGCTAAAAATTTCTAAAGTTAGTTTGTCAAGATAAAAGAAAATTTAATAGTAAAGTGAAGCTTTATAATAGATATATACAAATATTGCTTTTTAAAGTAGTATATAATTTTTTAAACCTTGGCACAAGTTATAATAGTGCTGTTTTGGTTGTTCTTTTTTTTTTTTTTTAATGCTTTTTTTATCTTTTTCTAGTTATAACTGAATAATATTTAGGATTTTTTGATTTTTTTTTGATTTTTTTTTTTGTTTTTTTGTTTTAGTTTTACTTTATTTTTTTTTTTGTTGTTTTTGTTTCCTAAATTTTGTTTTCTTTCTTTTATAAATATAGCTAAAGTTTTCATTGCTTGGATAAAAGTAAGAGATAAACTTCTTTGCCTAAATCTAAATAGAGAAGGTTGTGAAGAAAGAAAGATAAGGCAATCTTGACAAGCTAACAAGTGGCTTATAGTAATTTGATAGATAAGTTCTAGAAAGTTAGAGCCCCAGAAATAAGTGAACAATTTGTTGTAGCAGTTGCATATAGGTACTAAAGGTTAGCAATATATAGTTGCTAGTGATGAGGCAGCTATATATATAAGTTTTTGTTATATAAAAAGATAATAGTAATTAAATCTAGCTTAGTTAGTGAATTTTATTTTTGAGAATTCTCTTAATAATAAAAGCAAGATTTGCCAAAAAAAAAAAAAAGAATAAACTTCTATATTGTATAAAAACCCTAACTATAATATAATCTTTTTAATTTTCTATCTTACTAGTATATATACTCTAACCTTAACTTATTTAAACTATTAATTTTTTTATTACCAAAACTATTTTTAATTTTAATTTTAATTTTAATCTTCTTCTTATAAATTTAATTATTTAAAACATACTATTTTTTTTTATTTATCTTTTTTTCTTCACCTCTTTTCACTCTATTTTTAAAAATTTTATCTTTACTCTACTTATCCAATCTGTATTATTATTTGACTTATCACACTCTATTGCTTCTTAGCTAATTGTTCAAATCCTTTTCAAAATTTCCAATCAACTTTATAATCATATATATAAAATATATTGTATCAATTTATCTATCTAAAAAAAAACATTCTAAATTTTTCTTCTACTCAACTCTATCAACAAATCCCTTATCACCTTCATACCAGAGTCAGAAACACATTTATTTACAATTGCTTATGCAATATACCAGATTAATTACACTTTGATTCTAATACTTGTCCACCTTCTGGGCTTGCTAACTGCAAATTTGACATTTTGTTCACTATGTGGATTCAATATAGCACCCCTACTAATTATATTCTAACCATTCAAATCTAGGTGAGTCTTGACCACTAGAACGCTTATTTGCTACGTTCCTGGTTAAGCGCGACTACGTTGCGCAGCAACCATATTACGCAACGTATGTTATACCTCACACCATACTACCTTAAGTAATACCGGCTAAAAACAGCCTAATTGTTAAATTAACGTTAATACGTATTTTAAATTACTGGACCGGAATGTGCCACGGGATCCAATGCGAGCCTCTAGAATCGACGGATTAGCTTTAAGTCGATATCAGAAATTTAATATCGATATGTACGTATATGTAAGTACACTGTGTCTTGACATAACGGACAGGTTCGAGCAATTTGAAAGAATCCTTCAAGATTTTATTAGTTAATTAGTTATAGATTTTTTCTAAATCTTACGTATCGAGATTTAATTAGTTAATATCATTGTCAGTTATTTATATGACGTTTTCCAGTTATGGACAAGTTTAATCACGAGATCAGCTTATAGTGTTAGTTATCTTACAGGAATTTCTTAGCCACGACGTGTACGATCTTTTGAGGATTATGCCATATTACCGTCTTAAAGGTATAATTAAATGCTATTTACACTTGAGACTTATTATAGTAGATTTCTTAAAATTTACTTTCATTCCAAGATCTTATAAAGGCCATACGTGCCTGCAAGACTGCTGCTGATGAAAGAGCGGTCATCCAGAAAGAATCGGCAGCCATTCGTACTAGTTTTAAAGAAGAAAATAATGACGCTCGTCATTCAAATGTAGCCAAATTGCTTTATATACATATGCTTGGCTATCCAGCTCACTTTGGCCAAATCGAATGTTTAAAATTAGTAGCGTCGAATCGATTTGCGGATAAAAGGCTAGGCTATTTAGGAATCATGCTTTTATTGGACGAAAACCAAGAAGTGCTAACATTAGTCACGAATTCTTTGAAAAAGTAATTTTATATATAATCTTGTTTCAAATGGTTTAAGACGCGGAATAGTCTATTTTTTTTTTTTTTTTAATTTTATCCTTGACACGGAAATTACTTTTTCGAATTCAGCGATATGAACCATTCCAATATGTATATTGTTGGTTTAGCATTATGCACTTTAGGAAATATATCATCCCCTGAAATGGCGCGTGATTTATGTGCAGAAGTTGAAAAATTACTAGGTAGCTCCAACACATATATCCGAAAGAAGGTTAATTTCAGTAGAATCAATTTTCATTATTGGTATCGCTTTAATGATTATCTTATATTTTAATCAATATATTTTTTTCTTTTCTTTTTCGATTCGGGAAAATAAAAAAAAAAAGGCTGCGTTGTGCGCGATGCGAATCATTCGTAAAGTTTCTGATCTACAAGAAAATTTTTTGAATAGGGCAAAAAATAATTTGAATGATAGAAATCACGGCGTATTGCTAACAGCGATTACTCTTATCATTGAGATGTGCTATAAAAATCCAGAAACTGTGCAAACTTTTCGCAAGGTTAATAATTTTTTGTCAATTTATATTTTTATTATATTGTAATAATTTCATATCTGGAATGTTATAATAGACGGTTCCGTTATTGGTTAGACATTTAAAAACACTGGTTTCAGCTGGATTTTCACAAGAGCATGACGTAACAGGTGTCACAGATCCGTTTTTGCAGGTTAAAATATTGAGACTTTTACGAATTTTAGGTAAAGGTGACGCTGAAGCAAGTGAAGCAATGAATGATATTCTTGCTCAGGTTCGTATTTATAATGTTATTTTAATTATTAGACATTAGTTATTGAAAATCCCTCTATCGGTGTATTGTTTATAGGTTGCTACGAATACTGAATCATCAAAAAATGTTGGAAATTCAATATTGTATGAAACTGTACAAACTATTATGGAAATCCAATCTGAAAGTGGCCTTCGTGTTTTGGCCATCAATATTCTTGGCAAATTTTTAACAAACAGAGATAATAATATTAGGTATTAGAATATTTATTATTATTATTTATTATTATTATTATTACTATTATTATTGTTATTATTATCTGACGATTTTACTATGATTACATTAGATATGTCGCATTGACCACACTTAATAAGACGGTAGCGATAGATACAAATGCAGTGCAACGTCATAGAAACATCATTCTTGACTGTTTGCGAGATGGTGATATCTCTATACGACGTCGAGCATTGGAGCTTTCATTCGCATTAATTAATGAGGCAAATGTTAGAGTGCTAACACGCGAGTTATTGGCCTTTTTGGAAGTTGCCGATAATGAATTTAAACAGGGAATGACAACAAAAATTTGCTTGGCTGCTGATAGGTTGGTTTATATTTAATTTATCGTAATTGCATTTTGTAAAATATGACTAAGTTATTTTTCA